GGCACGAAGGTGAAGACAAAGTAACAGAACCTAACCTTTCCTAAGGAATCCACGCTGACAATCATGTCAAGAATATGTTCATAAGGGTGAGTCTTGGTGGCCTGTTTACCTCTGGTTGGACTCCACCTCCTCTAAACAGTTATATTGAGGGTTAAGTTCCCAACAAGTGGACTTAGCAACACATTCAAACCACAGTGCTAGAGACTGTCTCGAAATACGTAAGATGATAAATAATGGCGAGGAGAAAAACGCAAGATGAGTTTAAAGAAATGAACATGATTTTTGTCATGAGGATTCGATAAACTCAAAAACAAGGGGAAAGGGATCTGAGACAGAAGGATCACGACAAATTTGAGCCAGCCATCTTCATGCAATGAACTCTGGGCCAGCCGGGGCTGCATAGTGAGGCCTTGCCTCACAAAACAAAAACCAAACAAACAAAGGGCACTTAAAAGAAAAAAAAAGGTTGAAAAAACAGCAACTTTACATCAGGAAGGCAAGAGCCATAGGAATAAGGTTAGGGAGACTGAATTATTCAGTACAATGATCTTGAAACTTGCTTGAAATACATTATTTACTTTGAAAAACTGCATTATATGTTTTAAAACAAAAAGAATCTAGATTAAACCTGATGACACAGACCTGTAATCCCAGCACCTAGGAGGCAGCAGCAGGAAGTTTGTCCAAGGAAATCTCCTCTCTCTCTGTCTCTCTCTGTCTCTGTCTCTCTCTGTCTCTCTCTCTCTCTCTCTGTGTGTGTGTGTGTGTGTGTATGTGTGTGTTGGTAATTCTGTGCATAGAAGGAAATAGCTCTTCCCAAATGGATGCAGGAAAAGATTAAATCTATGACCTAGAAGTGTTTCCTTTGGACCTGGGAATGTCACTTAATGCTTCTGTTTCTAAATCTGGCTGTACATAGAGATCAGGCTGGGAGCTTTTTATAAAACACAGACTGGGCCTCACATCCAAGCATTCCAAAGAAGAGTCTACAAAACTTCTGCCGAGGAGGACGACAGGGTGAGCCGCTAGGTCTGCAAAGCGAGCACAGAGCCTCCCCGGCTTCAGTTTCCTCGGTGGAGAATAATTGACCCTGCAGTCCCACAGGATGTCATTAAGATGAAATGCCATAAAGTACAAAGTACGCCAGCAAGGGGACTGTCCTGACTTCTCAAGGTAGGATAAGAATTCTCATTGACCAAATAAGCCTGCCAGCAAGAACACACACACACCATTTCACAATCCAAATGTGTCTCTGACACACACATGACTCATCAAAGTCTAAGACTTAAATAGGAACTGAATGGTTCCCAAACAAATCAGCTCATCACCCTCATCTACGAATCTCATACGTCTCCCTGCTAACCTCAGGAACAAAGCACTATTGTGAAGAAAATACATGGAAAGTTATCAGAAATATCTAGTTGTCTCAGGGGACAGACCAGTCCTGAGTTCCTGGTGGTGTTTCCCTACTTCCCAGCTGTCCTCATTGCTTATTTCAGTTTTATAAAAGATGACAAGTTCGCTGTTCCTCTCCAGCCTTGCATCAACACACATTTTGCAACCACTGGCAGGGTTTTGTCTAGATTCCTTGGGTCCCCACTGACTGCTGCCATGTGCCTATCCCTCAGCTTTTGCACATCAGCTCCTGACTAACCAGCTGCTCTCTTGACACTTGCAGACACCGATGAGCCCTGAGCAATAGTGTTGAGATCCAGGAGACATGAGAGAGCGTGCACACATGCATGCACACACGCACACGCACGCGCACGCGCATGCACACGCACACGCACACGCCCCCGAACAGCAGGTATATCTGTCAGTTATTCTCCAGAACTCCTCAGAATGGAGTTGAGAAGAAGCTCCCACAGCAGGTGCCCTTGACTTCCTCTCCTGCGCCACAGCCCTTATTCCCTCCCTGGATTCTTTCAGATTCAAGGACATCTTTGAGAATCATTTGGCCACAAATCTTCATCTAAGGATATTTCTGATAATTTCATCTTCCTCAACAGCAGATGTTGTATAATCCTGAGATGGAATTTGTCTGTGTGTTCATGAGAGTGAAGCCTACTGATTCTTCTTTTGGGAATCTCCAGTCTTTCCCCATCTTTCTCATTTAGATTAGGTTTTTTTTTTTAATGTATAATCTACATACTGGAAAGTTTTTTGTGCATAGCTCAACAGATTCTACATACACACACCCACGCAATCAACTCCCAGATCTACATATGAAAGACTTCCAGCACCCGAGGGCTCTCGATGACTCCTCCCAGTCAGCAGTAACCATTCCAGAGTAACCAAGATAATAAATCCCATCACTGCGGACAAGTGGAGCCTGTTATGTACTCATGAACACAAACATCCTGTGTGCTCTCTTTTCCTTCCACACTATGTCTGGGAAATTCGCCGTTCTTTTATTTATTTATTTATTTATTTATTTATTTATTTATTTATTTATTTATTTATTGTTTTTGTTTTTTCGAGACAGGGTTTCTTTGTGTAGCTTTTCGCCTTTCCTGGAACTCACTCTGTAGCCCAGGCTGGCCTTGAACTCACAGAGATCTGCCTGGCTCTGCCTCCCGAGTGCTGGGATTAAAGGCGTGCGCCACCACCGCCCGGCCTTATTTTTCTATCTAGTTTTTTTCTCCCTTTCCTCCCTTCCCTTCCTTCCTCTTTCCCTTTCTTTCCTCCTTCCTTTCTTCCTTCCTTCCTTTCTTTCTTTCTTTTTCTTTTTTTGAGAAGCTTCTGTAAGGAGGCCTACTCAAATTCACAGTCATCCTCCTGCCTCAGTCTTCAGAGTATATGATTTTTTCCTATTGTTTAAATATAGTAAGATCTGTGTACCCATTCTACTGTTCATGGAGCTTGGGCTTCTTTGTAATTTGGAGTCATTGTGAGTATGGCAGGTCGGAACATTCTTCACCTCCACTGACAGAGAAGAGCTCTCATTTCTGGTGTGTCCTCAGGACTGGAAGTGTGAGGTCCAGGTTAAATGACTGTGTAGCTGCTACTGTTACTAAAGCAAACACATTCTTCGTTATGTTCATGTTTATTTCTACTTAGTTACCTACCTTTTTAATTACAGTTACCTTTTCCTCCTTGAGTTTTATTATAGTATAATTTTTACACATAAATTTTGCCTCTTTTTCAATGTAAAGTTTTAATAATTTTGACTAGGATCCCAGTTGCATAACGAACCCCACAATCAGAATAAGAAACACCACGACCACCCTAATTATCTTCCATTTTCACAGAAATGTTGGCATTGTTTATACAATCATATATGACTATCTCCCATTTTATCTGTTTTCTTTCCTTAATTTCCCTTTTATTCTTTCAGATGATCTCTAGAATGACTCTGCAAGTCAGAACAAATATCACTGCCCTCTTATCTTCAAAACACACAAGTCGACAGATCAGCCCAGGGACCCGGCATGCACCGCATGACATGGGGCAAGCCTCTGTCCTGCCTCATCACCATGACTGTGGCAATGGTGCCTGTACTGGGGGCTGACATAAGAAACAGTGCAAACAGCCAATAAATCTACAGCAAAGGCTTGCGATTGCCACATGCTTCCAAACACTCTGTCTGCATCAGCGTACTCAACTTTCACTACTGTCCTAGGAGTACTGATTTCTCCCTCCCCGGTTTCACAGACGCAGAAACCAAAGCACAGAGAAGTTAGTACGCTTCCAGCCCTGAGTCCTGGCAAGAGCCATGTGCTGGTGACTGCAGTGTTCCCATGCCTCTGCCTCCAGGCAGGGGGGCAACTCAAAGAGCCTCACTCAAGGATACAGCCACACTGCCTTTATTACATCGTTTGTCTTCTTTATGCTTTCAGTGAGTTATATAATTATCCTCATTTGTGCCATGCACATTTTTAGTTTAAGTTAGGCATAAATATTCTATGGCCTTTCGTCCTATTGTTGGTGGGTATCTCCCCCCCCCCCCCCGCCCCCGTTCTGTTCCTTGGTGGTTACTGGGGGAGGGAGCCTGTGAACCCGTTCACAGTAAGTAACTAAAAGCACCGCATCAGCACCAATGAACACGGCCACGAAGAGCAGCCTCAAGCATGGTGACACTACTTTACTGCTGATTGGAATGTCGAGATGGACAACGAGGAGAAAATGGGCCAGCCTTTCGGATCTCCCCACCATTGGTCAAAGGAGAAAGAGAGGAAAGGGAAGGAAGACACTTTCAAAACACACGCTGTACCCACCCCCAAATTCTATTCTTAAACTTCTTTTCCTTGTGCTACTTTAAAATCTTATCTGCAGTTTAAGTTGACTATGGGGAAATTTTGACATCCTTTCACTGGTTAAAGAATTCTGTGGTGAGCAAACAGCTCTTTATAGCTAGACGTTCAAGTTATATTACACTTGACAAATGAATCAGGGAAACAAGCTCCAAGTTTGTTCTGAATTTAATTTCTCTTCAGTAGATAAATATTGTTCACGTTTAGGGGCGGGAACTCTTGGGCAGTATGTTGACATGTTTTGACTTGTGTGCAGTAGATACAATTAAAAGTGAGCATTTCGGTCCTTGGAGAACATTTTACTGTTAGTGAGGATCTATTGTCACTGGAACAATTATTAATCTGCTACCGGTTGGGACCATGGGAAGAAAGGTCGAGATCAGGGATTAAGGAGAAGACAGCGTCAGAAAGGTTAAACAAAGCCCTGTTTGCAAAAGGAGTTGGCTGCAGAGTTACTGCAAGGAATGACAATGGACACCAGGATCAACGTCGTCCCACCTGACCAGCGGGAAGGCTGATGGGACAAAGTTAGGCCTGTGAATAAGGACACAATATGAAGATTCCCAGAAGCCAGTCAGATCCGGATCCAGCCTACTAAGCTTAACCTACACTCAAAGCCAAAACAGCCAGGAAAAAAAAAAGGTAATTTCCAACACTCTGCGACATGTTTCTTGACGTAACTTGATTACACACAAGAAAAAACGTGTTACTCTAGATTTAATGGTATAAATAATGAAACCGTAAACATTAACAAAAAAAGGAAGTGTATTTATTTGGTCACGGCTGGGAACTCCAGGAACACATCTGGGCCTCGGGACTCAATGACGGCAAAGGGAGCACCTTGTCGTCCCCCCGGCTTCTCCTGTGTAGAACAACTGTGAAGAGAACTGAGTCAGAGTCCTATTCCAGCTCTTGCAGGACAAGGGCAGTGACCTGGGTCTGCAGGGGTGCGGCTGCTGAAGAGGGCAGTGACCTGGGTCTGCAGGGGTGCTGCTGCTGCTGAAGAGGGCAGTGACCTGGGTCTGCAGGGGTGCCGCTGCTGCTGAAGAGGGCAGTGACCTGGGTCTGCAGGGGTGCGGCTGCTGAAGAGGGGCAGTGACCTGGGTCTGCAGGGGTGCGGCTGCTGGAGAGGGCGGTGGAGGCTTAGAGACAGCAGCAGTTCAGCTCACCCAACCATGAGTCACCGTTTGGAGGGAAGCCACTCAGCTGGGGAATCTGGGAAGGTGACTGGAATATGGCATCACTGAGCTCGTCCAGAGCCTCGTCCCACTGCCTACCTTCCAGTTTGCTTCCTGCCTTGTGCTCTGCTGTTGAGGACAAGTCTCAGAGATTCCAGCTGTACTTGCTCGTGGGTGGCTGTAAATCACCTACGCTGGCCAGAAGAAGAAATTTCTTTTGAGAAGCAGCCCCAAAGCGTGAGCTTCTTAGTTGTTCTGTCGTTAGATGAAACAAAGTGGTGTATTTTAAATTCCTGAAAAGTTCATCACCAAGCTGGCTATAGTGGCCCATGCCTCCCTATAATCCGAGTACTTGGAGGGCTGAGGCAAGTGGACTGTCATGAGTTCAAGGCCAGGCCCCGCTGTGCAGTAAAACCTTGCTTTAACAAAGCAAGTAATCAGCGGTGTTATCAGAATACCTTCTAATATTTCCCTTTCTCCACAGTGTTCTCTTCTCTAAGTCCCTTTCTAACACCGATTTCCCTCATCTGGGCAGTAAACACAGCGACTAGAAGACCTAGGCTCATGATGATCTGGAGACTCATGGGGGAAAAAAAGGCCTCTTTTATGATAATTCTTCCAAATCTCATGGGGACTTTTTTCACTGGTTCAGCTGTCTCTGTCCTCAGGGAGAAATGGAGCACCTGATGTGCTGTGCTTGTCTTGACAACCCCAGCTGCTGGCGTGAGTCAGCCTCACCTGAGCCACACTGGGCAATAATGATCGGGGAAGGGGGCGTATCCGTGTGCAGAACGGACAGACGGGAGAAACACTTTACCAAATGTTTATGTCTTCACATTAGCAATTATCAAGCTTGGCTACACAGTACAATCACCTGGGAGCAAAGACTCGAGAACAATGAAATCCCAGGCTCTCAGCAACGGAGACCCAGGAATCAGCTTGCTTACAGTAGAAGGGTATTGCTAATAATGCACAACCAAGGTTGTCAGGCATTACCTTCTAGACAACAGTATTTCTTAGGCTGTGGCCAGTGAAGGATGATGTGTATCTTGTTCTGTGATCACTGTTTAACTTGCTATTCAAATCAGAAGCCTGTGAAGATACAGTAGCTGCAACATAGCTTTTGAATCTTTCTGTGTTCTTTCATAGAAACACACAGAAGAACCAAGGCGGGAGGGGGTTGGCATCCATGGATGGCGTGCCCAACCCAACTGGGTACAAAATCCACCCACAAACCATGAAATAAAAACAAATGATAGCAACCCATAATGTCTCTGCAGTTGGTTGAAAGGGAAGCTCCCGGATGGCTGAAGACGCGAGACAAAGCAGATGCTTCCCAACTTCTGATGGGTTGTATCACAATGAATTTGTCATGAATTGAAACTGGCAGAAGTCAAAATGCATTAAGACTTCGAATTTAGCTAATCCACAGCTTATGAGCCATTACTAACCCTTGCGGCTCCGTGACTGACTGGGAGCTGTGATGAACTCTCGTGTTCAGCATCAACAAACGGTATTGTACAACGTAGCGCCGAGCTCAAAATTCATATCTGAAGGCTGAGGACTTAGCCCGGCTGTCAAAGTGCTTGCATGGCATCCATAAAGCCCTGGGGTCCATACCAAGACGACTTCGACCAAGCTGGTGGCACAAGCCTGTAATCCCAGCACTAAGGAGGCTCAGGGGCTCAAGGTCACTATCAGCTAAGTGAGTCTGAGGCCAACTTGGGTACATGAGACCTTGTCTCAAGAAGAAGAAAAAAAAAAAATCAAAATTCAAAGCATGATTTCTACTGAATGCACACTGCTTTCCCACCATCACAAAACTGAAAACACTATATGTGTAATGTAATAAGCTGTGGGCAGTCTGTAGTGGATTAGAGAACATTAGCATGCTTTGAGGGCAGGGCCCTGGCCAGATAATGTTTTAAAGACCAAACTGAGTCGGCATGAAACTTTTCAGTTAACCTTCATAGATTTCTTGGTATTTAATATTTTCTGCAGAAGTCATGTATTACTGGAACATAATCATGTAATTATGTATTATAATATGTGCACTATATATTAGCATCCATGTCACAAAGGGGGTATCTCCAACACTAGAACACAGAACTGTGAAACGTGAGTGTAAATGAGTGGACTTAGGCCTCCTGAAGGTGGTGCAGACAGGACCCATTAGGATGTCACTGAGGTCAAACCATCTACAGTATAGATTCTATACCTTGTGAAGCCAATCAGGAAGTCAAGTTGGAAAGTGGATCTTATGCAGAAAATCTGTATGGAAACGAGGAAGTCACACCCACCACACAAAACAGGCTGAGGGTTTGCTGCAGACATCATCTGGTCTAGATGCTTCGACATCATCTGAACAGGACTGCCTGGGCCAGTGGTGGGAGACTGCCAAAGCGTTCAGGTCAAGTGTTTCCATTAAGCTGAAATGTCAAACAAGCCTCAGGAGAATGAGCAAGAAGAAAGCAGAGTTGATCTAGAACCTTATCTCTAAGCACCGTGGCACAGAGCTAACTCGATCCAGGAGAGATGCTAAAGCAAGCTTCTAGGGTAGGGTCTCCATCTTTCCTCTAATCCAGACAAGAGTGACACACATCATGAGCATCCCACCAGTTTTCTTAGGGATGCTTGCCTTCCTCCTCCTCAAAACAATGTGTCAGAAGGCAGGTGAGTCTCAAGGTCCTTGAAGAAAGGACAAGAGGACAGTCACAGAAGACCTCAGTGTGACTGTTGCCAGGAATGGCAAATGGAAACGATTTGTGCTTTACCATGGAAATCAATTAGAGGGAGTCTATGTTTAACTGGTGACCCATGCAATTCCCTCATTCTGCGTCCCCTAGCAAACAATATCTCCAAACTTCACGTTCTCTGTCTGTAAAACAGGCTTACTAACTCTATTCACAGTTGGGTATAGTGACCACCACCTATAATTCCAGAGCTAGGCCGACTGAGAGCCAGGCTACAGAGTAAGACCCTGTCTCAAAAACAGACAAGAATAATAATTTTACCCAAGATGTTCTGGTAATAAAATGAAATAATGAAAACACGGTGTCTAGGACAACACCAACAAAATACTAACTAGTGACAGTAACAATTACTAGTGACACAAGGTAGACAACAAATCTCTAACCTGAAGGAAAAAAATGCCACTGAAGACCACTAATCTCATAGTCTAAAATTCCAGGTTTAACAAAATTATTTCATTGTCTAAATGTTTCCCTTATGGTGCGCATGTGATTATATCATGTACTCATTTTTTTGTTGTGCATAGAGCACATATGATTGATTATTAGAAAAGCTGTCACCTTAAGTATTTACCTTCAGTTGCGTATTATTCGGTTCAGCACCAGTGGACACGGGAGATTTGAGACTCCAAAGGCCTGGGCGAGGCAGCTGAAATGCAAGGTCAGCAGAGCCACCTGCCTAGCCTGTTAGGTGGGACCAGCCTGTGAGATCACAGATTGACCAGCTCATTACAGAAATACACACACACAACCCCCCACACCCCCCCCACACGCACATGTACACACACACACACACACACACACACACACACACACACACACACATGCATGCACATCTCGTTCACGCATTTTGAGCCACTGAGGCCCCGTGGATTTGGTAAACAAGCAGTCCTCGGTGTTCATCAGGGCCCTCAGTGGCCACAGGGGCCACCTGTTTTCCTGCACGAGGCTTCGAATGACTTGGCATGAGTAATTTCTCAGTGAGGTGACCACATCAACAGATTGGCTCGGGTTTTATGCAGACTTAGAACCTATTTTGCATGGTGTAGTTTTAGTGCGGACCATCTTTCCAATCTTTTTTTTTTTTTTTTTTTTTTGTCTACAAGCTGTTGGCTCTGGGAAGTATTTACATTTTAATTAGGAGCGTTCAACTCCCTTCTACTCAGTCAAGCCGCTTATTTTCTTCCCACTGGCAGCTTTGGAGGAAGCAGCTTAGCCTGCCTTGCCTTGCCAAGCCACCGAACCAAAGCTCAATGCCTTGCAGAAGCGCAAAACCACGTTCTCATTCACCAACTCTGCTTCTTGTCTGGGCTTTTTCATGGGGACTCGGAAATGAGCTGCTTTCTGTAGCCAGCAGGCCGCCACCTACTTCTTTTCTCTGGGTGAAGCCACATTTTAATATAGCACATATACACAGCACTCACTGAACGCCGGGAAGTGAGTTTGTTTCCTGTGTATCTTTTCAGATAGGTCTATCCTCATAATCACTTAACCTCCTAATTTACAAAGAAATACTACTAAACTTCATTCAGCCTCATCCCCCTTCTAAAACAGACAGAAAGCGTACTTCCCTCAATGACACACAGCTGTCACCAGGCATTAGTCATTGGACTATGCGCTGACACCCACAAGGGCTACAGATCGGAAGGATTGCTGTCCTCAGCATTGGCTGGTCCCCAGGGGTGCCCCTTGCACTCCAGCTTCCGGCTTCGTGTCTTTCTCTTTCTTTCTCTGCTTCTCACTTGCTGTTTCTAATCTGCCCTGAGTTAGGAAATCACCTAAGTATGTTTCCTAGAACAAGGGATAGACCAGCCTGTTCCTAGAACTCGAAGCCTGGTGGAACACTTGAAAAGAGAGCTACCTAAACTTCAGTGTGTGCTTGCTGTTAGTGAGGACACTTTTAGCTGCAAATAACCCACGAGAGCTTCAGTGGAGGAATTTATTGTCTCCTAGCTCTGCCTCCTCCCCATGGTTGGGCTCATCCTCTAGCTGGTAGCAATATGACTTGGTGGTCAGAGACACACCAAGACACATCCAGGTTTCAACAAAGGAGAGGGGACTGCAACTGCCGATGCCTCTCTTGGGAAAAAAGTGACCGTCCCCAGCTGGCTGCCCCCTCAAGGCCCGCAGTTGCCCTCTCAAGCTCACCACTGGCTCAGGATCTAGAATTCTTGGGACCAGCTCAGGCCTAATTGGAATGCCCTTGGGAAAAGAGGGGACGTGAGCCATGGAAATGAACCAGAGTGCTTGCGAGAAATGGGCTGCTCTGCCGTTGTCGATCTCTAAAAATAACTTTTCTGGCTGGAAACTGTATCTGCAAGTGACTCAGATTTGGAGCAGATCACTTTTAGAAATGTCAAGAATTGTTTGAGATAAAATCGAATGGTTACTGGGGACATTTAGTTGGCATGAACATGGGACTGGAGACAAAGTTTGCTGTGGATCCTATGAGACTTTCGTGGCATTTATTTGAAATTCGACAACAGATCAAACGTCTGCACAGAGCATTACGAGAAGATGTGCAAAGCACAAAGGAGGGCTGGCGAATGTGGCCGTGGGTTCTTATGCCAGCCCGGAATCCTTCCAACCATTGCAGATGAGCTCGCCAAGTGACAGTAGTGGTCCTTCCACCAGCGAGTTCTTCTTATGGCACATTACAAAGATGCTTCAGGTTCGGCTCCAAGTGAGGTCATAACGTCTTCTTTCCTTGGGTTAGAATGTCAGAGCAAGAGTCCCATCCTTCTCCACCAACCTCACTACACAAAAGCACTAACGTCACACAGAGTACTGAGATGGAGAAGGGCTTATTTTTGGTCCCATTTCCGTTGGCCAAACTGCATGTACTTGCTACTGTACCTGCTCTGCCATAGAGCATGGGCAGAACATGGTTTCGCTCCTGCCTGAAAGATCAAGGTGGCCTAGCACATCACAAGACATATCCAGAAGGCAGATTGGCTCAGGGCTCATAGAAGAGTCAGTTTCACCTCCCACTCTGGAACTTTTGCAAATTGTCAGCACATCAAGCCGTGAGTAGCGATGCCGTGATGTCTCAGATTTCACAAACCATAGCAGATGATTTGACTCAGAACAATTTGGCCAAAGAAAGTGCTTGTAATTTAGTTAAAATGTATTTTAAAGACAATTTGTTCAAAAGAGCAATTATTAGAAATATTACTTACATGAAATGGCTAAACACATTGAATTTCTTCTGTGTGCTAGTTATTTGAAGTTATATAATTATATATTTGTTGTAGAATATTATTTTTAAATGTGTTACATTTGTTTATACTGTGGAATATTTGTTTAATGATGCAAAGATGTGTTGCATTCTTTTATGTTGGATTTGTTTAACTCTGTGAAGCTGTGTTACTGTGCCTGTCTAAAACAACTGATTGGTCTAATAAAGAGCTGAACACCCAGTAGCAAGGCAAGAGAGAGGATAGGCAGGACTGGCACGAAGAGAGAATAAATAGAAGGAGAAAAAGAGAGAAAAGAGATCAACAAACAAGAAAAAGAGGAGAGGCAGACCCCAGGGGCCAGCCACCCAGCTATACAGCCAGACATGGAATAAGAAGGAAAGAAAAGATATATAGAAATAGAGAAAGTTAAAAGCCCAGAGGCAAAAGATTGATGGGATAATTTAAAGTTAAGAAAAGCTGGCAAGAAACAAGCCAAGCTAAGGCTGGTCATTTATAAGAAAGAATAAGCCTCTGTGGGTGATTTATTTGGGAGCTGGGTACAGAGCCCCCACAAAAGAGCAAAGAGTAAAAAACAACCAGCAACACATATTGTGTTTATAGATATATATTATAGGTTAACTTTGTAGCTTTCTGAGCATCTAAAGTATTTTGTTTTGACTCTTGTTGTTGACTCTGTTTGCCAATTGTTTATGCTTTCGGAAATTAGGGGAAATACTCATAAAACAACAGCGTATACCTGGAACAGCCAATATAAGCAACCAAAGTATATTGACGAAAATAGTCACAAGGGAATCTATTAAAACAGAATTTCCATATGTGCTCTTATTTCACTTTATTTTATTATTTAAACTTTCTTTCTTTTCTCCTGGTATGTAAGTAATGCTACACAACTTTGAGAAAAATTAAAAATGGGCTGGGGAGATGCTCAGTCAGTCAACTGCTCACCTTGACAGCACAAGGCCAGAGCTCAGTCCCCCAGAAGCCATGCACAAATGACGGGAGCAGACCAGAGAGATGACTCCACGGGTTAAGGAGCCTAGTGTCTGATAATCCAGGTTCAAGTCACAGAATCCATTATGGTAGGAGGAGAGACCCAGCTCCTTAAATCTGTCCTCTGACCTCCATATGTTCTCGATAGCTTGGTGCAAGCACACACACACACACACACACACACACACACACACACACACATACACACACACACACACACACACCTGAGCCTTTCAAAATAGGCTCATGCTGTACTGCCTCCTAATCCCCAATAGACATGATCATGTAAGGCATTGGCTTTTGATCTCTGAATAAATCCAACAAATATTCTATTGGTTAGAAGCAAATTAAAAGTTTAGTTGTAAGTAGTGAAAATGTAACTGAGACAGGGACAAAGTGCTTAGAGTCACACAACCCATCCCCTTAGTGGAAGACAAACATATATATATATATTAGCTTATGATCGAACCCAGGGCCTGTGCAAGCACTCTACCACTGAGCTAAATCCCCAACCCACACTAATATTTTTAAAAGGCAATTTCCATCAGTTGGGAATTTTAAGCATCTAGTCCTATTGGCAAGTTTTCTGAAGGTAGTCCTGAGTTTCTCTTGCTTGTGACCCAAGCACTCAAGCAAATCGCTGGCAGAGCCCAGGGCCCCTCAGTTTTCAATGATGTCATCCTTCTAACAGCACGCCACCTGCCTGCCTCCATCAGTCATTTCCAGGCCAGTTGCCCTGAGGCGTACAACATCTGGATGTCCACAGTAAGTCACACACACCATGCTCCTTGTTCCAAAAGAGGATTTGGGGTGACTTTCACAAATACATTCAACAACTAACAAAATCAAAGAGAAGCTGGTGATGAGTACCTAGAGTTTCTGCTCTACAGTTACATCTGGGTTTGGGTCTAAGGTTAGTTCAAAATGAAAAATCCAGAAAACACACCCTAAAATATATTTTAAAATGTCTTTCGGAAAGAAACCTTTTCCCCAAATTAGGAGGAGCTGAACTACTATATTACTACTACACCCAGAGCGAAGGAGAGAGACGCAGTGGGGTGCAAATGGGAATCAGAGTTAGGACACCTAATTCTGTCAAGCCCTAGGAGTCTAAAGGTACTGTAACTGGGTTGTCCTAAACTTGAAAAGGGATAGTACTGCTCCAAGAATGTTACTCCCTGTTCTCTAAAAGCATGTACTAAGAGGAGATGCAAAAGATTTCCTGAACTTGAGTCTGAGAGGAACATTTTTGTATGTTTCCTCAACATGACAGATAGTAGTATGTCAGCCAAGCTTGCTGGTGCAGGCCTATAATCACAGGAACGTGGGATGCTGAGGCAGGAAGATAGCTTCTGAAAAGCCTGCCTAGACTAAAGAGCAAATTCAAGGCCAGCCTGCCCAACTTAGTAAGACTCTGTCTCAAAATAAAAGGTTGAAAAGGGACCTGGGGATGTACGTCAGCGGTAGAGCATCGGCCGACCTCATGGCCACCCCTGAGGCTCAGTCTCTAATACCA